ATTAATTAGTATTCCATTGCCAGTAAAATTCCCAGTTGGGTACCTATAATAGATCCAATTGTTGCCCAGTGTCCCCAGAGGCTATTGTTTCAAATGTATATTCAAACCACCTAACAAGCTCTTCTAGAAAGATGCTTGGGCAGAATATAGCTTAGGTGGTAGGGTACCTGCCTGCCATGCATGAAGTCCTGGGCTTAATTCCCAACACCACATAAACTGGGTACAGTGACACACATCTTCAGTATCAGCACTTGGGAAGTGGAGGTAGGAGGGTCAGAAGTTCCAGGTCATTCTCTACCAAATAGGAATTTTTAGGCCAGCCTGGGATACATCAGACCCTGGCTTGGTATCAGCGATTTCCAAAATGCAGCCAGAATCAAGAGGCTCTCATGGTCTCATCAGAACCACCCCTGTTGCATGTAAACTAACCTACGGCACTCATCCCTGGTTTTAAAAAACATCAAACAGCATCTCATCAAATGCAGAAAGCGTCAGATCTTCACTGCATCATGTGAGGCTCTCCAGCGTCAGCCTTTCTTACCTCCGGCCTTCCCATCCACCCACTTCAACACCCACCCCCTGCCCTCTCTCTGCCTGCTGATCCAGACTCACGGAGTCTTCCATATTGACAGGCTATCCTACATGGATGTATTTTTTATCAGCCTAAGATGTTGCTCATCTTCCTCCCTTCCCAGAAAAACATCAATCATTTTTCTAACCCAGTTACAAGCCTCCTTGTGAAACCTTACTCCTCTGAACCTGAGCATAGCATACTTCTCCCGCACTGGGTGTATCCTCCAACAATGCCTGCCACAACCACATACCATGTTTCTCATGGTTTACCCAGTATGTCTTTCCTACCGGACTCTGAGCTCCTTGGCACACCTGGCACCCAAAGCTGCATTTTGTATACCTAATAAAGAGGATAGTATGGGAGAGTGATCCCGTCCTCCTCAACAAGTCTCCTTAACACCACTGCTTCTTAATTGCTGTCTAAGCAGAAGGGAGGTACCATAAGCCACACAGAAAAGCCAAGTCACCTAGCAGAGCGCTCCTTCCTATGGCATCAAGAAATCCCCAGGGCACTGTGAAGTAAAAATGGCCAGGATAATGACTATGTTATCATTGAGATATGCAGACCAGCACCAGAGCAAAGGTCCATGGGGTCCGAGCTAATCACCCACGCTCTTCAGTTTGCCATGTGTCACTAGCTAACTCCACAGTAAATCCTGGCAGATGGGTCTCTACCTTTCTGTCACACTTGTCTTCTTGAGCCAACATCTCACACTCACTAGGTAGCTGTAACAGCTACTTTTTATGTCAACTTGGCACACGCTAGGGTCATTTTAGAAGATGGAATCTTAATAAAGAAAATTCCTCAATAGGATTAGCCTATAGGCCAGCCTGTAGGGCATTTTCTTGATTGAGGATTAATATGGGAAGGCTCAGCTTACAATAGGCAGTGCCACCACTGAGCTGGTGGTCCTGGATGCTATCAGACATCACACCGAGCAAACACTGGGGAACAATCCAGTAAGCAGTGTTCCTCTATGGCCTCTGCTTCACTTCATGCCTTCAGGTTTCTGCCTTGACTTTCCTCAGTGGTAAACTGCTACCTTTCCTCCCCAGGTTGCTTTTGATCACAGTGTTTAACTACAACAATAGTAACCCCAACTAAGACAGCAGACAAGGATGACCTTGTGCTTCTGGTCCTCCTGCCTCCACCTCCCAAGCGTTGGGATTACAAACATGCACAGCATATCTGGTGTGTGTGGACTGAAGAGTGAATCCAGGACTTCCTACAGATTCCAAGCTTCAATACCTTAAACAGGCTCTGACATGAGAGCAGCAACTCAGCTTGGGAGTATTCTCTCCAGACGCTGCATCAGGCTTGAGGTGGAGGCCTGTGATGGAAACACTGACTCACAGGAGACGAGGGCCTGCTGGACAGCACTGTCTCCTTACCTTTGGGAAGAGCCTCCATTTCCAGGGTGTTTGGAGTAATGAGGCAGGTACAGAAGACCCTTAAATTGATTTGCTAAACTCAGGGGAAATGAAGATAGCTTATTACCCATCTGGCTCACCACAGTGGTCATCTTAGTTTACAATCGCCCACATCACTTGTCTATTCCAAAGTGCAATGATTCCCTAGGGTGGGTGGGGGATTAAACTGCCTTCGAGGCATTCTGAGGGCTCATTTCTGTCCCCCCTGCTACCCCCACCTTTCTGCCTGTTCCTCATGCTTTAAAATATGTCTACTAAGAGTCAACAGACTCTCAAACTCACCAGATTCCCTGTGTCTTTACACCTCTGCACCTTGGCTCATATTGTACACTCTACCTGCAGTCTCTGTCTCTCTGTCTCTCCCTCCTTCCTCCTCCTCCTTCTTCCTCTCTGTCTCTCTATCTCTGTGTGTGTCTCTGTCTCTCTCCCTTCTTCCTCCTCCTCCTGTCTCTCTCTCTCTGCCTCTCTGTGTCTCCCTACCTCCCTCCTCCTCCTCCTCCTCCTCCTCCTCCTCCTCCTCCTTCTCCTCTTCCTCCTCCTCCTCCTCTTCCCCCTCCTCCTTCTTCTTCCCCCTCCCTCTGCCTAGATTCTTCCACTTATCCTTCAGGTCTCAGACCCTGGAAGCACACAGGCCTTCTTACAACCTCCTCACCTATCCCACACCATAAGAAAACTCTGATCGTTGTATCACACTGAACAGGCAGGGCCATGCCTGCATTTTTTCCAGGTTCCACCTATGCTTGTGCGACTGGCAAGTCACTTAACCTCTCTGAGCCTCAGTATCCTTCTCTGTAAAGGACAATAGCAACTCACAAAAACAAGATAATGCATGCAAAGCCCTGTCCACCTCAAACACTGATTGAGTAGGGATGGTACCTGTACCTGGGTCCACATACTGTTGGTCCAGGCCTTTTCCTGAAGGTCTGGTTGTCTCTCTAGCTCATGTGGATAATTGCTGAGGATTTCTTACCATAGGCTCCTGAGATGCTATAGACCTCTATTCTGTTTTCTGACCTATGGGGTTCTGTGATCCAACCCAAGACCCCAGCAGGCACAGATGGGATGCAGACAGGATCCTTACCAGGACAAGGTAGCTAAAGAAGCAATACTGTGGATGAGGAGGACAGACTATGTAGACCCAGAGAGAGACGTTGCTCTCCCCATGGACTCAGAAAAGTCTGCTTCACAGAGGAGCAGGAGTTTGGCAGGGGGGTGGGGGAGGATATTCCTGGAAGGGCTTGGGGTCCTAGAGAAATGAGGATACTCTGAGTGACAGCTCAGGGTGCCTGGGGTGAGGACACTCTGAGTGACAGCTCAGGGTGCCTGGGCTGCTCTGTTCTTCTCCTTGGAGGGCAGGAATTGAGGATGAATGACAGGAAGAGCCAAGGAGATGGTGGAAACCGGGCCCTGAGCAATCAGGCTGCAAAGGGTGGACAGTGTCCTATGTGCCTAGGAAGTCAAAAGGGCAGGGAGCATCCTTCGAGAGCTCACTCAGCTTGGGAAAGAAAACCAATGTGTACGAAGGGTGTCAGGGAGGAGGGGAGAGGCAGTGAGGACCACGAAGTAGGGTGAGTGCAGGGACTGTGTGGAAGGAGAGGCTTGGCTGGGACAAAAGGGGACAGGACAGGGTGGAGGAGGAGAGGCTGGGGTAGAGGTGAGGGGAGCTGAGGTAGACGTGAGGATGGCTAGGATGGAGAGGAGAAGAGGACAGGCTGTGAAGGAAGTGAGGGGGCCCGAGGAGGACCTGAGAGGTCCGAGGGGCTAAGGAAGATTCTGTGGAGGTAAAGTATGCCAGGATCAGGGTTGGGGGTAGGGGGTGGGCGGAGAGGAGGCTGGAGAGCAAGACACCACTCAGAAGGCCAAGGGAAAGGGTGCTTGGAAATCATAAAATCATTAGTGCTCCAGATAGACGCTTTAAGTCTCCAAGCCAGGGCTGTCCTGCACGGCAGGAGAAGACCGTCCTAGACACACTCTGAAGATGACGTTTTACTTTTGACCACCAGACTTGGGCAGCTTCTTGTTTCGTTTTAGGGGCTGGGAGCTGCACTGTCTACTCTTCTGAGTGAGACAGCCTTCCCTTCCGTTTGCAGCATGGCCCTCGCATCTCCTCTACCTGGCTTCTTGAGGAGATGACCAGGTGTGATAAATGTCCTGGTGTGCCCAGGTCTGTCCAGCTTTTAACATCTTGTAGATTAGGACAGTTAGTCACCAACTGCACCCAGTTGCTAAGCTCCAGGGGCTCAAGGCGGGGCCCAGCTTGTCACAGAGCATCCGGCTAATTCTCCTCAACAGGATAATCCTATGAAAAGTGGCATGAGCCAGTGGGAGGGCAGACAAGTGACCTGGGACTTAATCCTGTGAGTGTCTCTTCCCACACTTTCTAACTTAAAAGCCCAGAACAAAATGAACCACTTTGTCCCCAGACACGTCACCCCATAGGTACGTTCCACCGCCCACATGTCCATCGGGAACGGACACCCTGTGCTGGCCATTTGCCATCGACAAGAAAAGGTTCTAACTATACAGAAAATACACAGATTGTCATCCTGGGGGTTGGGGGGCTCTTGATCTCACAAATCACATTTTCCTGGTCTTTTTTATACACACACGCATGCACACACTTAAAAATCCTGCTGTTTGGTATTGGGGGAAATGTTCAAAATGTTCATTTAATAGCCGATTCCTTGTAACAATATCGGCTGTCTCAAATCTCCGCGCAGCTTCAAGCACCCTCCTGAGTAACAGGTTGTTTTTGGCCTCCAGCAGATCATCACGGCTGCCTTCGAATTCTCCACTATAAACAGTTTACGCGAAAACCCAATCATTATGGTTTTTAAATACAACACATAGAGCCACACAGAAGTCATTTAGTAAAATTGGGCAGCACGGAGAGACCTAGATAGTCGCCCTCTGCCCCTGCCCAATCTTCCCTTGGACACTCCACATACTGGATACCCGCCCACTTGCCATGGTCCAGGTGGGGACACCCGGGGTACCTTTTGGAGAAATGCCATCCTCGGCCTGTACTGCTGGCCTTGGTGTCGGATCGTCATTCTGGACCCTGGATAAATTCACGACCGTAACACGAATGGGAGCAAAAGGGAAAACCCCCTAGTTCACAAGCCAGTCTGGTCCGCCCCAGCCTGGGCGTGGACCGGGAGGCACAGAGAGCGGAGCGCGCAGGGCCCAGAATGCCGCCCGCCGCCCCTCGACTCTCCCTCGCACCCGCCGACATGCAAAGCAGCTGGAATTCGCGCCAACCAATCAGCGAGCAGCGCCGCGCGCTCATTAGCATGCACTGCGCGGGCTCCCACCTGCCACCAGGGGGCGGCGTCCGGCTCCACCTGGACCAAACCTCAGGTAGGAAGACTGGATCAGGGATGCTGAAGCTAGCTAGCTAGAACATCTGTCCCAGGGTGTTTGAGCCTGTTAGCCCAGGAGAAGTTATATACAGTAGTGAGACAGAGCACGGCAGGAACGGGGCTTTCCCGTGCCAGCTTGCAGAAGAGTTGGGCATCTTTGGATAAGTTAGCGCTAAGAATTTCTTTATGAGAGAAGTAAAACTTTTAAGCAGTTTCATGATATCCAATAGAAGTGTCTATCAAGCTTCTGATAGATTAATGAACAACGCCGTGATTGTTCCTAAATAGATACTTAAGAAAAAAAATCAGATGTCGACTTTTATTTATTGACCTAATAAATAGACTAATGAGTAAGATGTTTGTTTCAAGAGAGGAAGAAGTGAGGAAGCCTGTGGACACTCGCTAGCTAGCTGCTAGCCCTTAGGCAAATTATACCTTACTTCTAATTCTCAATACTTGTATTTGTTTGTCTTTAATAGACTCTTAAAAGAACTTTTAAATTGACCTAAAAATTTGGCAGATGGAACAGAATAGAGGCCTCCAGAGTGTCCACTCACTCCACACATTCATAAGCCCCCTCCAAAGTCAACCTGTCTGGGGATATTGGTATACATGTCACCAATTGATGGGCCTATATTGGCATATATCTAGACAAAAAGGATGAAGTCCCCACTTGGTCTACACAGACAGGATAGATAGGCACTATAATATCTCACATGTTTAAGCTGAGAAAGACCAAACGGGGTGCTCAGTCAACTGGTATACCTTTAGAGTATAAACCCTTATCCACCATTTTTTTTCCTTTCAGGGTATATTTATTTGTAAGAATCTGTTGAACGCTGTGGACACTCTTGGAAAACACGCTCACACACATGTTCACATAACACTGACTCACGTTTGCAAGCAATGTCAAAGTGCTCGTGATTGGTTTCCTTTGGACCCCATTCAGAAGCCCCTGCATCACAACCTTCAATAAAATAGGATCTGAGCTTTCCTGGGATTCACTGATGCAGAGGACAAGAGTTTCTGCCAATCAAACCAGACCTCTGAAAAGTATGTTCCTTATGTGAGCTGGGACCCCAGGAAAGAGCTGCTATATCTTGACTTTTCTTCATGGAACAACTTCTTGCTTTAGTGTTACACAGAATACACAAGCAAATAAAGCCTGGGCTCCCTTCCAGCACCCGCATTCCTTAGTTCTACGAATTCTGAGAAAATAGAGGTGACTTCCGGGGATGGTGGATTGGGAGTTTAAATCATTCAGCAATGAAGAAAGGCAAAAATGTAAGGAATTGTGCTCTAGAATAGGACCTGTCTTGGAACGCCTGCTGTTCCCTGCCATCTCTTGTATCAAGCTTCTTTGTGAAGCAATCATATTTTGGAGGATCTTCCCTTAGCCCACTGGACCAGAGATGCTTGGTAGGTGTACCAGAGGCCAGTCCTCCGCCTGTGATGTGGCTCCACAAAGCTCAAGTCCAGCTTCTTAAACCATTACTTTTGCAAATGTCAACTAGAGCCAGATAGACAGGACATGGAGACAAGAGGAATCTGAGGTGAAATGCGAGCTGAATTCAGAAGGAAGTAGAAATGAAAGATGAGCAGAGAAAGGCAGAAAAATATAGAGAAGCCAATGAACAGAACAGACGGAGAACAACGGGAGCTGTGGGGCAGGTGAGAGCCCCTTGAGGCAAGCTGGGCTATGGCCTTCCCAAGGCAAGTGTGTCTCTGTGAATCTCCCACAGAGCTAAGTCTCTGCTCCTTCCAAAATGTTCCAATATGTAATTTGATATAAAAGGTTTAGGTGGCATCTTGCAAAAGAAATTGATGCCACTAACCTATTTAAACAATTATATTGTATGCCAGGCATTGTGCCGAAAGGCCTGGCATTCAAAACAGATTGTGATCCCATCTCTGTCTCAAGGAACTTACAGTTTCACGGAAGGAAAGAATAATTGCATAAAACCAGTGCAAAACACAATTCAGATACGTCGGAAACAAGACGGCACAACACGGGGCTGTGGAAAGGGCTTTTTGTCTAGTCTGAGTGGAAGGCATTTCTGGTGAAGGGGCATTATAGGGTCTTGAAGGAAAAGGGGGAGTCGAGCAGGTGAAGCAGGCAAACAAAGATACCGGAAGAAAGCAAGAGAGGATAGAGAAACAAGAGTCAGCAGGATTGGAGGGTGGTGACAGGGAGCTCACTGAACACCAGATCATAATGCTGACGAAGTTTGGCTGGGTCTGTGAGGGAATGGGAAGGGACAGAGGGGAGACACCAAAGTGATATATAAATGATCTGTATCGGGAAGAGCACTGTGGGTAAAGTACCTGCTGTGCAGGCCTGAGGACCTGAGTTCAAGCCCCAGAGCCCCACTTTTTTTTTCCTAAGAAAATAAGAAGCATTAAAATACTCTAGCACTGGAAGGAGACAGCCAGATCCCTGAGGATACCTAACCAGCCAGCCCAGCCTATGCAGTGAGCTCCAGACCAATGAGAGACCCTATCTTAAAAATACAAGGTGGCTAGCTTATGAGGCAGGACACCAAAGGTTGTTCTCCAGCCTCAGCACCCACACACATAAACGTCCACATCCACCCTTCTCATGCACAGGCGTGCACTCACACTCACATGCACATGCTTACACACACAAGAAATCCTTGTAAAGGTGACCACCTTAATAGGCATGGTGGCTACACTAGCAAATTCATCTATTAACATTCAAACAATTATGCTGCTCAAATTAGAGTTCACCGCTGTATGTAAACAATACCTCAACAAAGAAACAGATCCTCAAATCCAACTGATCTTGCAAGGAGTCAGAGGAGTATAGTGCTAACAGCTAATCTTTCTAGGGTTCCATTACAATGATTCTGTCATCGTCCTCTTCATCCTGGGTATCCTGTGTTCTCATCATCATTAAGAGTGTGATTCAGAGCCTAAACTTAGATCACAGCCATAAATGTTATGCAATGCAACTTACAATGCCATGGATCTTGTCCCCAAAGAACAAAATCTATTCTATGTATGATAGATGATGTGCTGTCCACACAAGCCGCAATGTCCTTCCACACCTAGGTCAACGATCATCTCAATAGAATGTCCTAGCTTCTGTAGTTCAGTCCACTGTACCAAGGACTGGAGATGCAGAGTTTAAAAGACATGGCTCTCACCTTTGTGCTTCCTTTACAGCGTGAAAAGGAAGGTGGGACCTTAAGGGGTTCATTTCCTCATGGTAGGTCTATCTGATTGCTTTGAAGCAGGAATTTCCATGAAGTAATTTCTTAGAAACTGGCCAGTGTTAAAGGGGTCACCAGAAGACATGGGAAAGTCTGGAGAGAAACAAGTGTGGGAAGGTTATTCCCATTACCAAAGCCCAGAGAGAGCTGGTTCTTTACGCAGAAGACAGTCTTCTCAGTGAGATTTGGCTATTGTCAAGACAGAGCTCTCGGAGAATAAACACCAGATGTCTCTCTTCCTGCCCTCAGTCTCCTATTGTGGCTGTCCGCTGTTCTAGTCTGCAATAAAGAGGGCAGCTCAGCCTGGGTGAGGTGAATCTTAGGGTCAGCCTCCAAGAGCAGAGTCTGGCAGAGCAGCCCAAATGATTGCAGACCACAACAGAGGAGACAAATGTCTCTGATGTCATAGATGACTAGAGATGTCTTGGGGGACATCACATGCTTTCGAGCACTTTAAATCAGCTCTGTGGCACGTACTCCTGTAATAACTGACAACTCCCTGCCTTAGACAGAAATGGAGTTGGATTCACCTGACTCCCTGGGCCACTGCCCACACTTCCCATTTGCGTTCATGTGATTCTGTGGTGTGAGTTGTCACCAGTATATATTACATTTGCAAATGTAAAAATGAAACAGAAACTTGGGGGGGGGTCCTCTTAGATTGTGAATATTTCTCCCCACTTCTATTAGACAAACAACACCTCCTGGAGACCTACCAATCTGTAATATTCTACAGAGGAACCACAAGGGGCCAGCAGGCACCTCACTGGTCAGCTGCAGTTCAGCAGAAGGGAAGTAGAGCCAGAGCACACCCTCCTCCAAAAAGAAAGTTAGATGGCTAGAAATCATCCACACTTGGCATTCTGCGTGTTGGCTCAGAGACAGGGGAAGAGGACTTGGAACTTTCTGGAAACATCTTCTTCAACCAGGGCTTATTTAGAAACTGCTTTAGCCCAGTGGTAACCGCCAGCTACAGCCACAAAGCTCAATCCTGTATTACATTCCCTGTCCATCTTGTCTTTACTATCCTAAATTAAATTCATTTGGGTATCTATTCTATAAGCACAGTAGAAATGAACAAAGGAAAAGGAAACAATATTGCTCCTTCTGACCCTTCCTCCTCCCCACTCGGCAGACTGCCCTTATATCTGCCCACCAGACAAGCCACCTCAGAACTAGTGACATCTGTTCATCTTTCCTTAAGGGTGTTAGTGATTTTCATCCTAGAAAATTTGAAAGTATAGCATTGTTTAACATTTTCATTACTTTTTGTGTTTGAGCATTTTGCCCATATGCATATCCAGGCACCGTGTGCATTCCCTGTCACTGGAAATCAGAAGAGGCCATAGCCCTGAGATTGAAATTACAGACAACTGTGAGCTGCCATGTGGGTGCTGGGGATAGAACCTGGGTCCTCTAGAATAACTGCTAAGCCATCTCTCTAGCCACTCTATAGAA